TGCTATGATGCGCTATGCTATGCTACGCTGTGCTGTGCTATGCTATGCTATGCTATGCTATGCTAATGCTGCGCTGCGCTGCGCTAAGCTGGGCTGAGCTGAGCTGAGCTAAGCTAAGCTAGGCTAGTCTAAGCCAAGCTAACCTAGGCTAGGCCAAGCTAAGCTAAGCTAAGCAAAGTTAAGCTAGGCTAAGCTAAGATAAGATAAGCAAAGCTAAACTGAGGGGACGTAACTGGGGGAACTGCGGGGCGGATACTGGGGGAACCGCCCGGGGCGGGCCCCACTGCCCGGCCCCGTTAAGATAGAGAGTAAGAACCCTTCTAGGCAGAGCCTAGGTAGGGAAAAATTGGCGGCGGCCGCCAACTCTTGGAACTCTCGACCCCTCCCTCGGGACCGGCTCTTCATCCCGAGCCGTCTCTTGACGACCAGGACGTACGCAAACGGACCCTCGGACGCCAGCAAAAACTCCTGCGCGGTTCTCACGTGCCGCCGGAGAGGTCCCGTGGCAGGCTCCGGGAACCCCGAGCCCCAACATGGTGCCACCTCTCGGGGAGGCACACCTGCTCCCGCCGGCCCGGCGGAGGCGCCCTCGCTCCACCTCCGCCGCCTTCCCCCGAGAGGTGCCCAACAAAACTCCTTCGTCTCCTCGGCGGCGGGGCCCCGTCTGGAACGGCCCGCGCGGGCCCGCGACAGCGTCGGAGCTGCCCCCCCCTCGCGGCACTGCGGGCCAGCCGAGCCGCGGGGCGGCCGCCGAGCCCGCCGAGCCCCGCCCGCGTCGACGCGAGGCACTCGATGACGTCCGGGATCCGGGGCAGCATCGCCAGGCCGAAGGTCCTGCGGACGGCAGCGGCGGCGCCGGGAAGGGGCGAGCACCCAGAGACCAACGCATCGAAACAATCAAGACGGAGGGTTTTCGCAAGTTTCGGCCCCTATAGGGGTCCTCGCCGGGCCGCGGGACCGTCAACAAAACGACTCGGGATGAAAAGCCGGTCCTGGGGAATGGGTCGAGACTTCGGGGGACCCCGTATTGAAAAGATCACGACGTCGGACCTCTGGGCAGGGAACCCGCTCGCCTGGCACACGGCGGCACAGGAGCTCACCCAGGAACCCTCGGGCC